GCTATTATGGCTTGAGGAAACAGATGGCCCCAAAACTACCCAGAAAAATTAAAGTTACCATATTTAAAACACTAATAAGGCCAGTGTTAACATACAGGTCAGAAACGTGGTCACTTACACTGAACAACCAAGAACTGCTTAAACGTTTCGAGAGAAAAATTCTAAGGAAAATATATGGAGGAGTCCAACGGTTCCCAAACATAAAAGAATAAAATCGGTACATTGTGGAGTAAAATCGGTAGATCTTTCAAAATATAATATTTTGTTTAAATTTCATAATGTTTTGCAATTCGTTTATTTAAGAAAAAATAAAATTTGTTTATTCGTTTAAATCTAATACAATAAAAAAAATTAGAACCGAGATACTGAACTTAAAACGAGAAGGTTGGCACGTTGACACTTGGCTGGCAGTAACATTTAACAGTAACGAAGCGGGAAATACAAGGCTTTTCTCTGTTGTCACATTGAAATTGGGTACATATACTACATATTTATATTATAATGGATTTATCTAGATCTTCTTCTTCAAGTGCCGTCTTCGTTCCGAAGTTTGGCTATCATCAAAGCTATCTAGATCAGTGATTCTCAACCTGTGGTCCGCGGACCACCTGTGGCCCGCGAACGGTTTTCATGTGGTCCGCGAAGTGAGCAGTCATAAAATAATCAATTTAAATCTTGGTTCTTGTGACGTAAATTAATGCGCCGGCCTATCTTTTTAACTCAAAACGTTTTCAGACGACCAAGCGCGCCTGAACACAGGTTCATTCACCTCAATATTCCGCATATTTTCCCTCGCGCGCCAAATAGTTAGTTGCATTATCTTCGTTTAGGTTCGGCCGCTGTCGTGTACGTACAGGACACTACGACCACTGCGTTTTTGATCGCGCTACTACTCAGTGACTCAGTGCTGACTCAACTGTCAAGTGACGAGCGTGCGTCTTTTTTGACTTGGTGATTGTAGTTTACTAAAATGAGCAAACAGATGAAACTTTCGGGTTTTTTTAAGAAGACGAATAGTGAGAACGTTAAAGCAGGATGTTCTACTAGTAATATTGCCAGTGATAGCACAATATTAACTCAAACTGGTCCTAAAAGAAAGGCTGCTAACCGAAAGTACAATCCTGACTACATAGCATGTGGATTTACATTCATTGAAGAATTTGGTGTCCAGTTACCTCAATGTGTAATTTGTGCGGAGGTATTAAATAATGAGGCAATGAAGCCGGCAAAATTAACTAGACACTTTGAAACAAAGCATAAAAATTTTGCCGGAAAACATGTAGATTTCTTTAAGAGGAAGGAGACGGAACTAAAATCGTCAAAAAATATCCTTAAGACATACTCAACTTATGATAAAGCTACTTTGAAGGCGTCATATCAACTTTCACTTAGAATCGCAAAAACCAAAAAACCCTTTACTGTTGGTGAGGAATTAGTTTTACCATGTATCGTAGATGCAACTAAAGCAATTTTAGGTGATAAATACGTTAAACAAATGCAAAATATTCCTCTTTCCAATGACACCGTTAGTAGGAGAATTGAAGAAATGGCATCAGATGTTGAAACCCAACTTCTAAAGAAAATTCATTCCTCAAAGATTTTTGCTGTACAACTTGATGAATCTACAGACATTACCAATAAAGCTATTCTTCTTGTTTATATACGATTCATAGATAAAGACAACAAAAAATTATCTGAGGAGTTCCTGACCTCGATTGAGTTGCAAGGTAACACAACCGGAAAAGACATTTTTAAAGCCATTGTCGGATATTTCACAATTAAAAATCTTTCTTGGAACTGTGTAGGACTTTGCTCTGATGGTGCCGCGGCAATGACAGGTCACAAAACAGGCTTGCCAAGTTTTGTAAGGAAAGAAGGAAACCGTGATATTGTTTTAACACATTGTATTATTCCCGACCCTATATAAAATATTAAGTCCCGACCTAAACAAGGTTTTGACTACTGTGGTAAAGGCCGTGAACTTTATAAAAAGTAATGCTCTTAGTTCGAGATTGTTTGCTTTGTTATGCGAGGACATGGGATCCATCCATTCCAATCTCCTTCTAGATACCGAAGTTAGGTGGCTGTCCAGGGGCCGGGTTTTAGCCAGATGGTTTTTAAGGGTTGAAATTTCAGTCAATCAAAAATTATATCATAAACATTAGAGATTATTTGGGTAATATTAATATGCGATTTGATATTTCAGAAATATAAAAAATGATTTTTTCATAATTGTCGATTTAAGGGATAGTTGCTAAAAGGGTTGAAAATTAATTAAAGTCATAAATCATGCTTATAAATGTTGCCAATTTTATTTTTATTTAATTAATCGAGATTACTTATGCCAGAATGCTTAAATCTGTATATTTTACCATTTTTAACAAAAGGGGTGGATTTCACCCCTAAAATGCAAAACGGGCAAGTTGAGCATGTCACTTTTGAAGTTGAGGGTAAAATATACTTAATCCCAAATTTTCATGCAAATCTATGTTGGTTCTGATCAAGACGAAATGGAAATTAGTCTTGTAACTCCAAAAGAAGTATATTTGGAAATAAAAGAAAATATAAATCCAAAGAAAGTTCCTGGATTTGATCTTATTACTGGGGAAGTGTTAAAGCAACTTCCAAGGAAAGCTATTATAAAATTAACACATCTTATAAACGCTTCCTTTAGGTTGAGGTACGTGCCAAAGATATGGAAGGTGGTAGAAATTATAATGACACTTAAACCAGGAAAACCTCCACAAGAAGCTTCTTCATATAGGCCTATTTCACTGTTACCTATCATGTCTAAATTATAAGAAAAATTACTCTTGAAGAGACTAAAACCGATTATAGAGGAAAAAAATCTAAGTCCTAATTATCAGTTTGGGTTTAGAGCAAGCCATTCAACGATAGATCAGGTGCATAGAATAACAGATATAATAGAAAAAGCTCTAGAAGAAGGAAAAGTTTGTTCCGCAATTTTCCTCGATGTAGCGCAGGCTTTTGACAAGGTGTGGCATGACGGATTATATCATAAAATGAGATGCTACTTACCAAAACAATATTCTGAACTACTAAAATCATATATATATATATATATATATATATATATATATATATATATATATATATATATATATATATATATATCCGACAGATATTTTCGAGTTAAATATGAGAAAGCATATTCAGAATTAATTAAGAGAAGTTAAAGCTGGAGTTCCACAAGGAAGTGTCCTGGAGCCAGTGCTATACCTGCTCTATACCAGCGATATTCCATCATTAGAACCTAACACAATTGCGACATTTGCAGACGACACATGCATTCTAGCAGTCGGACAAAACCACGAGGATGCAGCTACCATGCTACAGAACTCTGTTGAACAAATTAACATCTGGACCAGCCGATGGCGTATCAAATTGAATGAAATAAAATCTGTTCATGACAATTCTACTAACAAAAGAGAACAACATATCCCAGTTAGTATAAATAGAAACCAAATACCTTATGCAAATACTTGATGGATCCGACCGTTACTTGATGGAAATTCATTTTATGGAACAATAAAACACTGAAAACTTTGTTTTCAAACTTCCACAAAATTTATTTTAAATATTATCACTACAGCGGTTTCGGCTGATTGCCTTTCTCAAGTGATCTATTTTGGCTTGGGTTTACAAATTTATAGTCTCTAATGAAATAGGTTGAGGAGGGGAGAACTGTTTGTCTCAAGTTGGTCATTCAGAATTATATCTGTGTTTTTTAATTTGTTAATTTCCATCCATTATTCAAAATAAAGGCCTTAAGCTATCTTTGTTAGAATCTATGGAAATTAACAAATTAAAAAACACAGATATAATTCTGAATGACCAACTTGAGACAAACAGTTCTCCCCTCCTCAACCTATTTCATTAGAGACTATAAATTTGTAAACCCAAGCCAAAATAGATCACTTGAGAAAGGCAATCAGCCGAAACAGCTGTAGTGATAATATTTAAAATAAATTTTGTGGAAGTTTGAAAACAAAGTTTTCAGTGTTTTATGCAAATACGGCAAAATATTTGGGTATGACGTTAGATTCCAAGCTACGTTGGAAAGCACATGTTAAGAAAAAAAGGAGGAATTAGAAATAAGTTCAGAAAGATGTACTGGTTGATGGGAAAAAAATCCACTCTGTCTATTTATAACAAATTGTTATTGTATAAGCAAGACCTTAAACCGACATGGACATACGGAATACAGCTATGGGGCTGTACAAAAGAAAGTAACATCCAACATATACAACGATATCAGAATAAAGTATTAAGGAACATCGTTAACGCTCCATGGTACTTTAGAAACTGTGATCTTCATCGAGACCTCCAGATGGATACGGTTATCCAGACAATAAGTAAGTTTGCCGAGAGTCATGAACAAAGGCTCTCCAACCACATGAATGTCGAGGCCATCAAACTCCTAGACAACGCCAACCATATAAAAAGACTTAAGAGAACGAAGCCGTTTGAGTTAGTGCTATGAGTGAAAGTGAAAAAACAGAGCAAAGTGCGGCTAAAGTGTACACGTTAGCTAGTAGTACTATAATGTATTAGAGCCTAAGGAATAATGCTGAATGTAAAATTAGATAAGTTTCTTGTAATATTTGTATAGAACTAACTTGATTATTGATCATAGTAAATGATCAGATAGCAATAGTCATAAGATTCCTGTTGGAGTTTTATTAAATAAAAAAAAATTACTGTATTAATTCGGCTTTTGATTTTTACAGTTGTATTTCAGTTCTTATTTAAGGATATACTGAGATATACTAATTTCTCCACTCTATCCAGTTCTGCTTCCCCAATTCCCTAATATATGTACACATTAATTTTCAAAATATTTATTTTCAAAAATTAGTTGCAAAGAGATTACACTTCTACAATGACTAATAGGCAATATGCGAAGTTTGACATGAAACGACAGGGTATAATTATTTTTTACGTTATATAAACGACTTTCATTGTTTAATATTTTTTAGTGAGGGGGAATCCACATCAGAAGTTGTAGAAAAACCTTGGAAGCAATATAACAAACACAAAAATAAAGGAAAGAAAGAAAAATTAAGACGAGTCTATGCTCATTTAGACCAACATTAAAAAAAAACAAGTTTATATTTATGTCAAAACAAGTGTATATGTTTTTTTATTAAAATATATATTTCTATTGCATTAAAAATACAATTTATTCCCTTTATTTCCAATTTTATCCGTTTAAAATAAGATTACATTTAGTTCTTCATTATGGTATATTTTACTGAAACTTTATCAGGTTAATTAAAAAATAAATAACATAATTAGCTAATTAAACACTATACTATGTAAAATAGATCTGTTGGATTTTTCTTCGAAATTATGTAATACTTCTTCGATCTCATTATCCAGGTCCTCTGCTCTAGCTATCTGCAATATAATACATATATTTTAAAGTATTTATCATTAATAAGAAATCTGTATAAATATTACAAATTAATGGTCAAGCTTTTAACAATTTTGTGGTAACAATTTTAACAAGAGCAAGACTCCGACAAAGTTAAGTTTGGGAATATGACTCATAAATCGACGATGCGCGGTGGTTCTTGTTTACTAGTGTTTCCATAGAAACGGCCAGTTTGCTGTTTGTCAGTGTCGTAGTTGTGTATCGCAGAGAGTGTTTGACTTGTTGATTTGATCGTGTTGGATATTTTATTATTTTATTTTAGATTAGTGCTTAGTATCATATTGGTAGTAGTAATTAGTGAATTATTAAGTCATTTAGTGTATTTATAGTGTGTTAACTTTAGTTATTAATAATATTTATTTAACAATATGGCTTCTAAAAAGATAGGAACAAAAGGGCTGGGATTAAATAGTCAAGCAAAGTCAATAATTTATAATGTTACTACATTTATGGAACAAGATGAAGCACATTTCGAAGCTACCGAAAACCTGTTAATACCTTTAAAGAAATTGACGTAAGTATTGTCAATGATATTTTATTTTTTTTTATGTGTGTATGTGTGTGTGTGAAAGATATGACACGGAAACAAGTACATCAGCCACATAATGTTTTATTTATGTTTAAAGATATTTTTTTGTTCTTGTTTGTTACTTTTTTTAGATATATGTATAAATCACTGAAGTTATACTAATTTATATTTCTACTTTCACATCTTTAAATGTTAAGTGGTGTGTATCTGGAAATATGCATTTTGCGAGTTTTTAACAATATTCTCCCATTGCTGTTCCCATTTTTTCTAATGGGAACATGTCTAATTTTATTTTTTTATTGAGTTAAATATATCCCTTACTGTATAAATATTGCAAATGACTGCACTGCTTCCTTAGCTAGAGTATCAGCTTTTTCATTCCCTGGTATACCTGCAAGGCCTCTAACCCAAATAAATGTTACATTTAAATTTACAATCATATTTATTAAACAATATAACATAGGACACTTCATTCCTTCAAATTTTCTATTTTTATTATTACTCCTTCGTTTTTATTATTACTCCTTCGAGTATGTTATTGGATGTTAACCAGGTAACACCTTTTATAATTGCAAAAAGTTCGGTAGTATAAATGCTACAAACAGGTGGTAATTTATATTTCAATGATTGGTTTGTATTTTGTATAAATACACCACAACCAACACCTTGTTATTACCTATTTACGATGTTTCATCAGATACTTTATACTATTTGCTTGAAACAGAAAATCACCGATCTCAATATGGATTGTGTTAGTAAATATGATTAAGTGCATTTTGTTTCTCAATATTTTCATCTAGTAACATTTAACATTATTAATTATAGGGATAGGATTTTAGCAGCTACTGGTATAAGTAAAAACACCTTATCCAAAATAAGAAAAGCAGGTAGAGAAGTCAATAAAAATGGAGCGACTAGTTCATCTTTTACAAGTCCAAAAAGAAAACGTTCTCGTGCTAAAAAAAATTAAATTGGACCAAGGAGAAGAGGAAATCATCAAAAATGTTATATATGACTTTTACACCATCGAGAAAAGATCACCTACAATTAATTTTGTTACAAAAAGATCACCTGCAAAAATGTTGTTACCGTAAATAAAATACAATCAGTAAAATTATAAAACAATTGTTTGTTTGTACCCATTTAGAACGAAATGAAAGTTTTCTAGTAAAAACACTGATATAGATACATTTTTAACAAAAACGGTAAATACAATTCCTTTACAATTTTACTTACTTAGTAAACAAGATTTACTTTCCAAATATTTTAACTATGTATTTCTATTTATTTAAGGTATTTATCAAAAACTACCTAAAAACTAACTAAAGAACAAAGAAATGGGATTTCCAGGATCAAAGGAATCATTAAGGAAAACCATAATTGGATTAGGCCTTAGGTAACACAGTAAAATAATTATTTAGTTGAACAAATAAAACTGTATAATGGATAATGTATTTTCAATTGATATTTTATTAACATCGTTTTAGTTAAACTTATGATGAATATGAATAGTGTCTTTTCAAAAGTATTAAATATTTGATTAGTTTATTTCGATTCCCGTTTCCGAAAAACTGTAAACAAAAAATACGATACGATTTTACATAATTTTTGTTTTTAACAAATGAATTGTTCTCACTTCTGTATGTTGTGATACATTTGAAATTTACACCATCGTACTTTTGAAAATATATTCTTCAAATTATCTCGAACAAATTTTTAGTGGAGAAAAACCGAAGACGATAGGAATGGAATAATATGAAATTCGTTTAAAACGAATAGAATATTTAAAGCAGCTAATTCCATTTTGATCTGAGGGTAGAACCACAGTTTATACGGACGAAACATATATAGACAGCATATAAATTATATATTTATTTATATAAACATAGAAGTCTTTACAATCATTACTGTTTAGAAAATAAATACATTATTTAATTAGTTAAAATAAATTACTTATTGTTTTGTGTTGTTGAAACCCTTCCTTTCTTAATAAATTGTAAGTAATGAGGAAATTGTTATTTATTAAAGTACTCCTAATAGTTTCATTATTTTATCGAATGCCTGACTATAAACTTCATAAATATTAAAAACTATAAAAATAACAAATTCATTCTCACTTTAATTGAATATACTTATAAAAATTTATTTTAAAGCTGCCGGTTTCCGTCCGCCACTGGTAGAAATGGTCCGCCCGTCTGCGCGAACCACTACGTCACATTCCCAAACTTAAGTTTGTCGGACTCTTCTCTTATCTATAACCAATGCGATCAATTTAATTTTTCGTAGCTTTTGGTGATTTGGAGTGGGCTCGTTGTCTTGGTGGAGAACTCTTGCATTTTCTTGTCTTAAATACCGAAAAAAAAACAATCATCGATCATTCGAACTTTTTTGGCTGTCGATATCTTCCAGTGCATGCCTTGACGAATCATTTCACGACCATAAGTAAAAAAACTACGATTCGTCATACGTTATGGTTCTTTTCAATAAGTTTGGGTCAGTTTAAACGGTTATGTAAGCATAGTAAGCATAATTTTTGTGTGCGTATTGCTATTAAAACGTGTTTTTTGGCACCATTTTCACGTATACTATGTAAATATTAAAATTGTGATATGAAATTTGGCATAAGTATTTTATCATTTTGTTAAATACAGTCACGTTTTTGACTTTTAGTTTTAGTTGGGATTTCCGGTGAACTTTGACAAAAATTCGTTGATCTTTTGCTACACAACACTTTTCGACCCAAATAAAAACATCCATAAAAGGAGACGGAACAGAAGCGAAGATGCTACATTCAAAAGAGAGGAGTTGTCCAATATATGATTTACGGTAATAGCACAACTGCAACTATACTACGTTTCACGTTTAGAAAATAACATTGCGGAGATAGGCCCATGTATTTCTTATGGACGATAGCAACGCGGCGTTGCCACGACACACACAAGCACAATTTAGGGTTGTATAATTTGTATTTTTGTTTCCACAAACATGAATTAAATTAATGTTTTTTAACGTAATTGACCAAAAGTGTCCATTCGAAACAAGAGATGAAAAGTGGGGAAAATGATTTTAATTAGATAAATAGTATTTACAAAAGATAATTTTATTTTATCTTATTTTAATTATAGTAACGACAGTTTATTTGTTTTTCGGTGAGAATACGATATGCCATGAATCATAGAAATCAGTAGAAAATATTGACCGCTTGGAATGCGTATATCTAATTACTAATTTCAACTTAAAATAATACGATGTGCGTATGTCAGCTATTTTATGTCGTTCTCTGACTATATCATGATAATAAGGCTTTTATTTAGTAGTTATTCTGACTTTACAGTTAAGTGTTAATTAAAAATGAAAATTCAAAAATTAAGCAAAGGGAATATCTTGGACATCCGTGCAAAAGAGAGTGTCTGAGAGTTTTGGCAACACTGATCGGAAGAAGATGGAAGAATTAAAATTATTTAAATTAGTTGCAACACATAGATTACCTATGTGTTTTAGGTAAAAATGCATTGCCTAAAAAGCAGTGGAATTTTTCCCAACAGGTATTCAGTTGTCTGTTATAATCTATTAGTAACTCATAATGTTTTTAAACTTATAGGTAAGATTTTTGTTGCAATCACGGAAATCGCACAATCCACAGTTTTCTCCATTCTTTGGACTTCACATTTACCCTGATATCATCATGAGTTTTCATATGCTGATTTAAATTAGATTTTTCATTGAAATTTTTCTTACATACCGTACAAGTAAAGGCATATTTACTAGCAACTTTGTATACTCTTGGGGCAAGGTGTTCCCCATGAAACTTTCTAATATGTTGCCAATATAATTTTTTGCAAATGTTTTGCAACAAGTTGGGCATTCCATATTTAAAAAAAATGAGTTTAAAAATATGTGTAAGGATTTATATTAACAAAACAAACAAAAGTCTTTGACTTTGACACTTGACAAACACAGTAGGAAATACGATTCGATTATCATATTTTCCGATGTGATCAAAAACTCTTATTTGAATGAATCGATATCGATCTGCCTGATTTGTTGGTATGCTGTCTAGACGCTAGTCACAACTGCACTGTTGACATGTTGGGCGCGAAATAGCCATTTGTCAATTTTGTATGGCCGATTCGTAGTCTTCTTATTATCCGTGATTCGTTGCGAGTGAGGTTAGTAAGACTTGGCCGGGTAATTTTAGGTTGAATTCTGCGTAGGGATGTATCACAGTTATTCCAACTAGCTTGTCCATATTCTAGGATTAACATTTTAAACTTTAAAAAGGCCTTTGCTTAGCTGAATAATTGTTTGGCTAATTGATGAAATCATCACTTCAATCACACCAATGGGCGTCGGAAGCCAGATAAGTGAGACCTTTATTTTTCGAACATAAAGAGATTTATATATGTCGAGTACACTCGTGAAGTCAAATGTATGATCAGTAAATATCGATTTTAATGAGAATATGGAGAAAAGTGAATCGGTGCAAATTAATACATTTTTGAATGACGTGGAAATGAATTTAACCATTTAAACGACGAATCATTAAAAACTGTAAAAAAAAATCTAATATCCGTCCTATACTACGATAGGGGAGAAGAGAGAGACTTGATCACTCTTTAAAATTTCAGTAAATAAGCAGTCTAGAATTATAAAACCGGCAACATAGCGTAGCTGTTAGTATGGCAGTAGATCCCATGTAATTTAGTTTTCGTTAGAATACACAACGAAGAGCACGTGTTCATTACAATTATTTTGTCCCTACCAAGAAGTGTTTTCAGAATTATTTCAAGTTGATTTTCTTTACTATTTGTTTAGGTAAGTGTTTCGTATAATTTTTATTTAACACCATAATCATTTAGTTTTATGTTTTGCATAGTTTTCAGCGAGTTCTAGTTTGCTGTCATATTTTTATAGACAAATATTAATATGACCTCTTGGGGGAGACTTGATTCCTTCTTATCTTGGAGATATGATCCCCGGATCAAGTCTTCCAGAAACTTCTTATATGAATGTTTTTTATTTTATAGATATGCCACGTCAATACAAAAGAAGGGAAGAAGCCAAGAAAAGAACACCAATCCACAGAGAGAGGTTAAAAGAAGCTTTTTTAGACGTTATTAATAACGGTACGTGTCTCAAGGGAACGGCAAGTCGTTTTCAAATAAATATTATGACATTAAAAAGATACGTTCGCAGACAACGATCCGAAAATGTTGAAATATGCTTCTCTCCTGATTATAAGAAGGCTCAAATATTTACAAATGCAGAGGAAAATATGTTTAAAAATTATTTAGATGTTGCCATGTTGTTTAGCAAATTACACCATGGCCTTACAAGAAAGCAAGCAAAAGAACTGGCGTACGAGTTTGCCGTAAGAAATAGTATAAAAAATTACTTGCTTCGTGGAATAAACATAAGCAGGCCAGTTAGGACTGGTTATACAGATTTCTGAATCTGAAGAGGATGAAGACCTTATCACTACGCAACTACGGAAGCAACTAGTCTTTCTAGAGCAACTAGTTTCAACAGAAATAATGTATCAAAATGTTTCGGAAATTAAAACACAAGTTCTTGAAAACCATGGAAATGGACCAGAAGCAATTTGGAGCCTGAACGAAACTGGACTTTCCACTGTCCATAAGCCAAAGAAGATAATTGCATGTAAAGATGAAAAGCACGTTGGTAAAATTACGTCAGTGAAACGTGGAGCAACAGTAACTGTTTGTTGTGTAAGTGGATGGAGGACCATACTACCACACACGTCGCATAAGCTCCAGGCGTTAGACAAGAGTGTATTTGGCCCTCTCAAGAGTTTCTATAATACTGTCTGTGATTATTAGATGGTGACCCATCCAGGAAGGACAATTACAAAATACAAAGTCGGAGGATGCTTAGCTTACGCTTTCCCGTTAACATTTACTTCACGTAATATTGAAAACGGATTCAGAGTTCAGTTACTCTGAATATGGAAAGGCCATATTCAGAGTATATGGGCTTTCAATTCCAATATTTTTACCGATAAAGATTTTATGTCGGCGTATGTTACTGATCGCGAAGATCCGGAAAATAATTCCACTTTCTTTAAGTTTGATGTTGCAACACCAGCAATAGATAACAACAACGAACCCTCCACTTCTACTGGTACTTTCACCACCCCTGAAATAATTAGACCATCTTCCTCAACTGGATCGATTTCACATAATCAACAACTAAGACGAACACTAATTGAGGACAAAAACCAACCTCCTACTTCTACTGGTACTTTTACCATACCTCAAATAATTAGATCACATCCTGTAAATGGAGATACTTCACAAAATAATAATCAGCTACAACAAACAAAAATGGAGCACAATAACCAGCCTTCCACTTCTGCCAATTTTAGTAGCCCAGAAATGATCAGACCTCATCCTAAAGCCAGGCCCAGGACTTCAAAAAAGGGTAGAAAGCGAGCAACTACGAAAATTCTCACAGCTACACCAGAAAAACTTGCGCTTGAAGCTGAAGTTAGAGCTAAAGAAAAAAATTAGAAAAAGATCAAAAGGCCAAAGTAAGAGCACTTAAAAAATGACTTAACAAAAACTTAAGGATTGAGGAAATCTTCAAGTTCGGGGGGCAGTGACATTATGCTATCGTCGTCAGAGTCTGAATATGATCCTAATAATGAAATGATCATTTCATAATTTTACAATTATCCACTACAGGTACGGGGTCGTTGTTGATTGAGATTAATGGAGCGGGGGACCAATTTTGGTCTTCCTGGTCTCGGTTTGAGCGGCGTTATACCAGCTGATTTTTCCTCTTTTAAAATGTTATATACAGTTGATTTTGAATATCCCATTACTTTAGACGAAATTTCAACTATACTATCAATAGTATTGGAAGGATTATGTTGCTTAAAATAATTGTAGACGTTAAAGATAACACTCTTTTCGTTAAGTGATAAATTATTCAACTTCATTTTTTAACAGGTATATAATCACACGTTAATTCCATATTCTATAAACTAACTATTCACTCTTGCAAAAAGAACTGTGTCAGATCTCTTCACTCGCTTATAATCGACTAAACAAAAATTTTCTGGTATTAATGAATGACTATTTAAAGACCATTAACCGTTTTATTAATCATTGGTTTTCCAAACAAAATCAAAATTTATACTATTTAAGATAGCGTTCACATTTATCAGAAACCATCTTTCGCTAATTGACTTTTTCTATCTAAACTATCAAAAGACCATTAACTAAATACCTATGTATTTTAAGAGTTTCTTTATTTCTTGTTATTTAATGGGTCATTATCATAACGACAAAAATAACCATAAATAACGTTACTAAAATAAACAGATTTATATAAATATAATATGCTTTGAAAATGGTTTAAATATCTAACAAACCGAAACAAATAATGTAATACCCTTAAAGTACGTCTATGACCAGCTGAAAAAACCCTAGCCTACACAGTTCTAACAATAGGAGGTATTTAAATTTTACGATAGTCCATGTGACATGGAAAAATTTCTATCTATATAGTCAAATCCAACGTAAAATAAGCTAAAATATTGACGTTGTACGAAAAGCACACGTACTAAAATATGCTTAACAATTTAGTTTTTTTCTGAGAATTTACTCCAGTTTATTCTTCAAATATATTACAGTTGCGTTTCTTGAAGGGAGCATATAGGTCAGTTTCAGCATATAAATTTTGAATGGTAGAGTGAGTTATGTTGCTTGCTTATTTTTTAATTTTGAGGTACTTGTGATTTGGATTTTCAATCATTTCTGGACCGTCAATCATTATTAAAAATAACAAACAGAATTGCAGAGATTGTAAAACCCGATAAATGCCCTATGGGTACCTCTTCGCCACTTCATTTAATTGATTGAAAAAAAAAACAACACACACATGTGTAGACCTTGCATTATACTATAATACAAAAAATAATTGAACACTTACCATTAGGCATAGATCCGTTATTAAAAAGGCTCCGATAGTAGCTTCTTCCAAATTGTCCTGTATATCAATATTGACAACATGTACTATGGAATTTTCAGTAGGGGTTTTATTTTCCATATATTCTAAGACTTGGTCGTACACTCTCTCTTCACATGTAATAAGAATTTCAAATTTTTCTGGAGTTTCTTGAAATTTCTCTGGATGTGTTTTTATCCTCCTATTCCTGTCCAGAGTATGAAGTAGTCCATTTTGTGTATATCTAGAGTTTACTGTTAAGGAAAATATCAACTTGCATAAGTGGACTAAGTTTAACAGATTTAACATTTAAAAATCATGATGGATCGGTTTTCTTTCACTAGGTCCGACAGATGGTCTAACCCTCGAAGTTATCTAGGTATCGGTAAAACCTTAACCTATTATAGGCCTTATCGACATGTGAATTTCAATGAAGCATATGACTCGGCAATAGAAGAAACTTGTTACAGCCTATGAATGGCAAAAATACTGCAGAACACAGAATTAGATGACGAAGACAATAAGCCATAATACGAATAGACCAACAAAAATCGAATGAAATACCTATAAATCGTGGAGTAAGACAAGGATGTGTGCTTTCCCCTTTACTTTTTAATATGTATTCAGAATTGTTTAAAGAGGCATTAGAAGACGTAAACGAAGGCATATTTATTAATGGAGCACTTCTAAATAATCTTAGATAAGCAGATGACACAATACTCCTTGCGGAAAGCAGAGGAGGACTACACAGATCTTGGTTGATCGCATTACCCAATACTGCGAAAGGTATGGAATCGCACTGAATACAAATAAAACAAAAATCGTGGTGGTAAGCAAGAAGAAGATTGAGGAAGACAGTGTTTAGGCTAAAGCAAAACTTTTAGGCAGGGTGCACAGATATCAGTACTGTAAAACCTCGATATAACGGACCTCTATTTAACGGACTTCGGATATAACGGACAAAAAATCCGGTCAGTAAAACTCGAGTTTACAACAAAATTCAATAAAATTTAGCATAAGAGGAGCATAATTGGGAATACCGCCAGAAGAAGTGAAATGTTTGTTGCTTTTAGACAACGCTCCTGCTCATCCTTCTGAAAATATTTTACGTTCAGAAGATGGCAACTTTAGATGTAAGTTTTTCCTTCGTTTAGACGAAGTAGTTTTTAGCTTGCAAAACTTAAGGTCTTACAATTTAAAATCAACATTTTTTAATTTTTCTACAGCGTGGGAGGAGGTGAAAGAGCAGACATTAAAAAATGGTTGAAAGAATTTGTTTGATGGCCAAGATGTATAGATTTAGAAGGGTTGGAATTTACTGATCACTGTAGGTAGGTCAATAAATAATAATGCAGGAGAACATGTAGCTGAGGAAGATGTTTTACAATGGCAGAGTAGATCTAAAGAAGGTGACCCTGGGCTAGAGAATGTGACCCTGGATATAACATCATGACTGAAAGTGAAATAGCAGATGAAGTTATGAACCTAAAAAGTAAGGATAGAAGCTCCGTAATTTTTAATCATAAAAAACAGCAAACATCGAAATTGCAAACGAAACTTGATTCCTTTTATAAAACATGATTACAGACAGCAAGCGCGTCGATATCCACAGCAACGTTACTTCACGATGAATGTCCGAAGACAAGTAAATAGAATTTTGTTTGTATTTTGTATTTATATATATATATATATATATATATATATATATATATATATATATATATATACAGATTGAACGAAATAAATTCGGAACATAGGAATATAATGTATTTCGGCTCAATTCTGCTGTAGGTGGTTGGCCAACGAAAGATTGTCAAATAATTATATTATAAAAATCCCATACTTCAGCGGGCTGCTGGATTCTGAACTCATAAAAATTGAAAGCTACACATAAATCTACGATTTTATTATGCTGTCAAACCAGTTATAGTCCAGGAAATGAAGCATTTCACTTCGCAATTTTTTCGTGCTGCGTGGATTGACTTGAAATTTAACAGAAGGTAGGTAATTGCCTAAGGATCAAAATCTATATCGAACCAAAGTGCGCCAAAGCCTAGGGGGTGGTTGCCACCCCATCTCCGGGGTGAAATTTTTTTTTACGTTTTAACTACAGGTTTCTATTAAAAAAGTGATTCTAAACAAAAAATGTGCTATACATTTTTTTTATAAAATGATATTTTTCAAGTTATTCGCGATTGAAAGTAACAACTTTTAGACGAAAAAATCGACGTTTTTAATCGATTTTTCGCGAATAACTCGAAAATGGTGCATTTTATCAAAAAAATGGTAGAGAACAAATTTGTAGCTTTTAAAAAGACAAATACAATTCATTTTTTAAAATGTTTTTGCGATATAATAGGAACCGAAATACGGCCTATCAATGTTCAGCGGTTTTCTTCAAATCCCAAATTTGAAAGGTTCAAAGTCAAATATCGGAAAAATGATGCATTTTTGGAAGAAAACTCAACCTTTTTTAAAGAGCATAAATAGACCTATCATAAAAAAAGACTCTAGCTCAAAAGTTGAGTGAGTTATGATGAAAATAAGGTGTATACCTCATTTTTTACGAAAAAATCGAGGAAAACAACCCCCTAACCACCCCCATAATTAAAATCGAACTTCACCCTTCTGCAATTCCCTTTGTACATGTATTGTTAATACGTCCAAGAAATTTGACCCATTTAAAATGCTTAGTTTTAGAAAAATTCCAGCAAAGCGAGAAACGATTTACAATTTCATATTTTTTACCCTTCTTTTTTTAAATATGCCCGAATATACTGAATATATGAAAAAAATAAAAATTACCAAATTGTAGCTTTTTTAATGACTAAAATTATCCTTTATTTAGATTGGTTGTACAATGAATATTTGGCGAGATATAGCCGTTTAAAGCATCGATTTACGATCAAGCACCATCTTTTTCGAGCCCTTTAAACTCACCCCATTTAAAAACCAAGGGTTCCAAAAAGATTTAATTCACAGATCCTTGTAGCTCTTAAAAACCTCTGCAAATCGTTTTTGAAGAAACACTCTATCCTTAAAAATTAAAGGAAATACGTTAAAAAAACCAGTTAATTTTTTTCCGGACAATTCCATTAGTATAGTACAGTACATTTCAGAGCATAATAATCTACAAAACCGGTATATTAGCTAGTGGGGCGTTATACATTCGAAATTTTAAGCGTTCTTATTTTGAAATCCCATACAACAGAATAAAACATCTGCTCATATGTTTTATCGGCTATGGCTATGATATTCATCGGCTTGGCAATGAAAATATCAGAGCAACAGATTGGGGATGGTATTCCAAAGATGGTTTGTTATTACCCGTACGCATGAACAAACAACCTGCACCCGATGAACTTTTGAAAATTATTTTTTGCCAATGCAAAAAAGGATGCGGCGTTTCATGTGGGTGCAGAAAAGTTGGTTTATACTATAACTCTACTGGGTGCTCAGGTGAAGGGTGCAATAACAGTCCACCAATAATTGAAGAAGATGAGGATGACACAGATCACGATGAAGATGTAATTGAATGAAGAATAAAATTAATATTATTATATTATTATTTATATATATATTATTATATATATATATATATATATATATATATATATATTATTATAATATATTATTAATTGTTTTACCTATAAATGTAAATATTTTCAACTATTTATGTAAATGTATAAGAATATATGGTGCCTTTTTATGTTGATAAATTTTTTTGTATTTAATTCTACTTTTTTCAATTTATATCTTATAAATTAGTTTATAAAAACTGCAATGTTGTAAAGGGTGATTTTCAAAAGTTGAAAAGTTGCAAAATTTTGGCAAAAAATTGTTTTCACCTATAGCACTCATTACAATTGATTTTTAAGGGTTGAAAATGTATGAATTTGTATTTTAAGGTATAAAAAAATCACTATTTAACTAATCCAAACCAAATTTCACTCATCTTAAGATTTGTAATATGATTTTACAATTTTTGAAAATTAGGGGTAGTTTTCACCTCTAAGAACAATCAGGGTTCATCGGCATGACATAAACTATAAAGCAGAGGCTGAGTTGAGCTTAATTCCAAATTTTTATGCAAATCGTTCCAAGGTGAAATCATTTTCTTCGCATTACTAATTTTTTTATATGAATCTCTAATAAGGGTCGCTTTTTAAGGGTTGAAATATGATGGAACTTTATTCAAAAGCACGAAACTATCATTATTTAATTAATTCAAACCAAATTTTACCCATATTCAGGTTTAATATGTTATTTTATAATTTTTGACAATTAGGGGTAGTTTTCACCCCTAAGAACAATCAGGGTTCGTCGACATGACATAAACTATAAAGCAGCGGGTAAATTTAGCTTAAATCCAAATTTTTATCCAAATCGATCCAAGGCGAAATCATTTTTTTAGAATTAGTAATTTTTTTACATTAATCTCTAACAAGGGTTGCTTTTTAAGGGTTGAAATATGATGGAACTCTATTCAAAAGTATAAAATAATCATTATTTAACTAATACAAACCAAATCTTACCCATATTCAGGTTTAATATGTTATTTTATAATTTTTGACAATTAGGGGTAGTTTGTACCCCTAAAAACCTTCAGCGCACTTCGGTTAGATATAGATTTTGATCCTTGGGTTATCACCTACCTTCTGCTAAAATTTCAACTGGATACATGCAGGACGAAAAAATTGCAAGGTTTTAACTTTTTTCGAGCTTCATTGCCTGAACTATTATCGCTTCCTTAGACAAACCCGTCTTACGCAAACAACTTTGTTACAAACAACATTACAAACAACATTAGATGAGATATTTCTCGGACAATGGATTGGTAGAATTTAATGGCCTTTTTGGCCATGGATTTTTTTGGGGATACTTGAAAAATTCAGTTTACAAAACTAAACCAGCAGGTCTTGAAGAGCTAAGGCAACGAATTATCGATGAATCTCGAATAATTTCTAGACAATCATGGAGAAATGTGGTAGACGCATTCTACCATCGATTAGTGCACTGTCAACTCACAAATGGAGCACATTTTGAACACTTGATAAAGTAACCATTGTGTTAAAAATGTTGTAATCTATCAATTGTTACCTTTTAATGTAGTTGAAAATAGTTAGTATTAGAAAATTTATTGAGACAATTAGGCGTTGCCAGACTCCTTTTTTGTATTTAAGACCTTCCAGACTGCATAAAATCATAAGTGTTACATTTAGTTGAATTCTATCGAAGAGGAGA